TTAGACTTTTTACTTCAAAGATTCCAAATATCAGTATTCTCACTTTAAAACTTCTAAGAAGCATATGTACTTTCAGTCTTGATTCCAAAATGCAAAAAAAAAAAAAAAAAAAAAAAATTATTCATTCCTTATTAACAATATTACAACAATGTTGAAACCTTTCTTTTAAAAATGTATATAGAAAGATTATGGACCTGGTGTATGAATGTTATATTTTAATTTAAAACTGGATTCAGGGAATAAATTAATGTTAAGGGTGGATGGGGCCCTCAGAATGTACAGGTGTATGAGTTAATTATCTTGTATTAATTAGAATTTGTCCTGGTCCATCCACTATTTTACCCTGGGCCCCTTTACTCTTTGATATATGGCTTATACTTAAAAAGATTATATAATCATTGTTTTGCACACATGTTCCATAAAGGATGAGCCACTAATTCAATATTGTGTATCCAACTACACAGGTGCTTGAACTTCTTTGAAGTCAAGGAAAATGAGTACTGCTGCTACTTTTTCCAACCAGTGCCAGTTCCAACCTCAGCATGTCACTGAAGAAGGTGATGGGCTATCTGAAATCTACCTGTGTGTTTTATGGTATGGAGGTGAGCTGGGAATTGTTTACTATGACACTGGAGACTGCTCAGTATATTTCATGTCTGACTCACCTGACAACGAAGACCTCAAACTGCTTCAGAGAGTGGTAGATGAGGTTTCTCCCAAATGTATATTGAGTAGTGCCAAACAAGATTCTAACATTGCCAAATTTCTGACCAAGATAGATACCACTGAAGGAGAAAAGCCAGAAGGAGGAAAACTAGAGGTTGTCCTCTATCCAAATATGGATTTTGGTTTGGAAGTGAGCAAACAAAGGATTCTATCTAGGCAATTCCCTTTTGTCCCTTCTCACATGACAGCAACTGAGAAAATTCTTTATTTGTCCTCTATTTTACCTTTTGAGAGCCCTCTTGTGCTAAGAGCATTAGGAGGTCTGCTAAAATTCCTTGACAGGAGAAGGCCTGGAGTTGAACTAGAAGATAGTCATGTTGTTGTCCCAATCTTAGCCTTTAAAAAGTTTGTATTGACAGATACTGTAAATGTGGATCAAGACACTTACTGTGTACTGCAGATTTTTAAAAGTGAAGTACATCCTTCTGTGTATAAGCAGGCCACTGGGAAGAAAGAAGGCCTGAGCTTATATGGAATTCTGAACCACTGTAGGTGCAAGTGGGGAGAGAAACTGATGAGACTGTGGCTCATGAGGCCCACCAGCAACTTTACAGAGCTTAATAAGCGACTGGATGTTATCCAATTCTTTTTGTTAGCTCAGAACCATGAAACAATTCTGACCTTACAGGAATGTCTCAAAAATATAAAAAACGTACCTCTGATTCTTAAGAGGATGGCTCTTTCTAACACAAAGGTAAGCGACTGGCAGGCACTTTATAAAACTGTTTACAGTGCTGTGTGCCTAAGAGATAAATGTCGCTCTCTCCCAAGTACCATTGAGCTTTTCCGGACAATTTCTCATGTTTTCACTGATGATCTACACTATATAGCCAGCCTAATTAGCAAAGTGGTAGATTTTGAAAGCAGCATCTCAGAAAACCACTTCATTGTCAGACCAAATGTGGACCCCATAATTGATGAGAAGAAACGAAAACTAGTGGGGCTTTCAGACTTTCTCACAGAGGTAGCTCGCAAAGAACTAGACGACCTGGATAGTAGGATCCCATCTTGCAGTGTTATTTATATTCCTTTGATAGGGTTCTTACTCTCTATTCCACGGCTGCCCACAATGGTGGGCAAGACTGACTTTGAGATTGAAGGTCTAGATTTTATGTTCTTATCAGAAGAAAAGCTGCATTACCGCAGTGCCAGGACCAAAGAACTGGATAGTTTGCTTGGTGACCTTCACTGTGAAATACGAGATCAGGAAACATTAATCATGTACCAGCTACAGTCTAAGATCCTGGAAAAATCTGCAGTACTTAGTGATGTGATTGAATATACAGCACATTTAGATGTGCTATTATCCATGGCAGTCATGGCTCGAGAGAATGGATATACCAGACCCAGCTTCTCTCATGCTCATATTATTCACATAAAAGATGGAAGGCACCCTCTGATAGAGTTATGCGCAAAAACTTTTGTGCCTAATTCAGTGGACAGCAGTGAAACATATGGACGGATTAAGCTCCTTACGGGGCCTAATTCATCTGGTAAAAGTGTGTACCTAAAACAAGTAGGTCTTATTACATTTATGGCTCTAATTGGCAGTTATGTCCCTGCTACCGAAGCTGAAATAGGGCCTATAGATGGAATTTATACAAGGATCCACAGCAGAGAATCAGTATCTCTTGGACTCTCCACTTTCATGATTGATCTTAACCAGATAGCCAAAGCAGTGAATAATGCCACTGAAAACTCTTTGGTGTTAATTGACGAGTTTGGCAAAGGCACAAATACTATGGATGGCCTCTCTCTTTTGGCTGCTGTTCTAAGGCACTGGATTGCACAAGTGAGCCAGTGCCCATACATTTTTGTTGCTACTAACTTCCATAGCTTGATGCACCTGAAGCTCTTGCCCCATACTCCTCTTATGCAATATCTGACCATGGATACACATCAAGATGGAGACGAGCTTGTATTTTTCTATCAGATTAAAGAAGGCATGTCCACTGTCAGCCATGCAGCCAATATTGCAGCTTTGGCTGGCATGCCTTCCAAAATCATTGATAGAGGAGTCGAAGTATCAGAACTGTTTCGCAATGGAAAACCTATCCAACGTACTGACCATCCCTCAAAAGAGAAACAGATGCAAAATTGCAAATCTCTGGTGGATAAATTCCTCTCCCTAGATCTTGATAATTCCCAAGTGGATATAAAGGAGTTTATGATTCAGGAGGTGCTACCTTCTTCAGCTTCCATATTGTAACCTATTAACCTAGAGTGATTTGAATAGAGACCATATAAGTAATTGTAATACAAATAATATATGACTGAACTATAACGTTTAGTGTATACTGAATTGTTACAAAGTAGGAAATACATCAGAAAGAAATGCCATTTATTGATTCAGACAAAAAGCCTGAAAAATTCATAATCCACCAAACTGAGTTTTACCCATCAGGCCTTTATTATGTTTTACCCGATGCTTGTCACCCCAACCAGCATATTCCATTCTGTCATATATGGGAGATGACAAAACTATGATCCTGATCCTGCAAACCATCATACTGCTATTGTTATATTTGATGAATTATTAATGTGTATTAGTGAATAAATTATAACTGAAATGAAATTTAGAAGATTATTTATAGATTCCCTGGTTTTTTTGTAAACATATTTGTCAATAACATGATATTTGGACAAGTGGATTATGTTCAGGTTTACTTAACTTCTTTTTCACCGATAAATTATTTCAAAATTTGTGTGATGTTCATAACACAAAAATAGTCCAGAAAATATACAATACAAAAACATTTAAAAGCAAAGAAACTGGTATTAATATTCCTTTTTAAATAGTAGATTTTTCTTTGCTTTGGTGTATTTGTTAAATGTTTTTGTATGCTGGTATTCTAAAAAATAAAATCTACAATGCTTCATGTTGGTATTATTTTCAAATGTCCCAGTTTCTTTAGCTTTACAACAGAACTCTTTAATTCAGAACATTCAGGTATTTTGCATAAGGAAAAAATACCTCTATTACTGGTTACTGAAATACAGTTATAATATATGAGAAATTAAATTAGTTCAGGCACAACATAGATGGCAGTATATGATCAAGACTAGATTATATTTCTCTTTCTCTCTCTTTAGAGAGATATTTCTCTCTCTCTCTCTCTCTCTCTCCCTCCCTCCCTCCCTCCCTCCCTCTAGTTTGCTTTTGCATCCATAGTACAAACCTATGGCTTCCATATACATTTAAACCCGTACTATTCTTAAATCATTCATTAAGGCTGACATTAGATCAAAAGTGACATACTACTCCTGTTTAAATAAACTCATACATCATACATTGTTAAAATTACTAAACTAGTTTCATTATTTATTTTGAACACTTGCTAGTAATGAGACAACTATCATCCTGTAAAATGGAGATCTATTTACTAATAATGTTGTTCTTACTGTATTTTTTCTATGTTCAAATTACTCTAAAATGTTATTTATAATCTTGGAGAAATAATAAATATATTTGTAAAAATACAAATGTTTTAATTCTACTTTCATACTTTTTAAAAATATATTTTTCTGAATTTTATCTGCAAGCTATTACAATGGCTGCACTTAAAAGTTACATTATTTTCATTACTCAAGGGCTTCAGTGCTATGTATATTTACTTTGGAAATAAATGTGAGGCTCACTTCTAAGTGGACAGGTTATACTATCAATATTGTTTGATTTTTAACTCAAATTAAAATTAATTCAAACAGAAACTACATTTATGTAATGATGTGTATATATCATTTTAATGTCTTACAAATCAGGGAAATTTATATATTCTGTTTCTCAGATTCTCCTTTATAAAATATGAGCAATAATGACATCAAGGCAAAGGTCTTACTTTCATTTAATAAAGAAGTACTATATTTATTACACTCCAGAAAAGTGTTTGGCCCCAGTATTTCCTTATAGTCTTAAAAAAAACCCTATGAGTTGGGAATTACTATTAAAAAGCATGAAAACTGCAGAGGAAAACAGAATTTGTAAAAATGCCCTCTCCCTTAAATTAATCTTTCTTTTCTTTATTTAAGAGAGCTGTATAAACTGAAATTAATAGTTTTGAACATAATTGTTTTTAAATAGTATCAGATTATTTAAATAATTTCAATTATGCTGTTGGATTAGATTTCAACTGTGAAATAATCTCTGTAGGGCTTCCTGATAACAGACTTAATACTGATTTACCTGTCACTTAGCTACATTTAAATATAAAATTATATAACAATAATTTGTGGACAATGCAAACTGCCCCTCAGCCCTATTGTGATTACTTTACCTGCTTTTTTAGTTTTGGGGATTTTGACAACTTCATGAAGGTCAAGTGAGGCTTTAAAACTTTGTCATCTATGATGATACCTTTTTCTTGAAACATCTTCTTCACAATTTCTAGGTTTAAAAAAATAGAAGTACTTAGAGGTAAATCAGAGAATGAGAAATATCTGTTTCATGAAAAAGAAGAATCCACTGAAAAGAGAGAACACTTTATTTCTAAATTTGCTACAACTAAACCATATAATTTTACACATGTAACATTAATTGCATATAATTATGGTGCATATTATTTATTGGAGAAAGCAGAAATCCTACTCCAACATGGCTGTATAATGATACACAAGGATTGCCTTATTCTGAGACCACTCTCACACTTAATTTTACTATTACTGGGATGTGTGAAAGCAAACTGTCAGCTCAAATTTGCTTCAAACATGTTAATGCTAAATCACATTGTGCATTAAACTTACATGTATTTGGCAAGTCAGTAGTAAAGCAAACACTATTGTGACTTTTACAAAAGACAGAACTATTTTTAGTCTACTGCAATGTATTTTTTTTTAAATCTTAAAACAGATGTCAAGAGTTTAAACATTTTTTTTATCATAATAACGTTTAAAATAAGGAGGGAATTGCAGAAGCATAGAGTTGGAAAGTCCACTGAATCCACATCCTGCTCAGTGCAGGAATCTAAATCTAAGTATTGTTAACATATGACTGTCTTTCCTCCACTTGAAGACATTAAAGGGGATCAACTACCTTCAAGGTGCTCTTGGTGGTTTTTCCCCCCTATTGAAATGGATTCTGCCTTCCTGCTACTTAAATCTATTATTCTGAATCTTGCACTCTAAAGAGAACAGGGATTGCTCTTCTATATATCTTTTCAGGTCATTGAAGAACACTATCAGTCCTCTTTTGTCAAGGCCGTTTCTCCAGTGTTTCTTCACAGGAGTTCGTTTCTAGCTCCATGATCGTTATTTTCTGAATCTTTTCAGTTTTCCTCAATCTGTCTTGAAATACGTGTCCAGAACTCAACACAACAGTCAAGATGGGATTTGACCAAGTAGAATGGTTACTACTTACTTATCATGTAGAAATTATACTTTTACTGATGTGGTATAAAAAGTGTGTTTGTCATCTTTCAATACATCCGCTGATTTATATTTAGTTCACAATAACTTACTGCTGTAATATCTTTTTCAAAAGTACTATTACCAATTTAAGTATTCTATAGCTGTACCTTTGATTTTTATTACTGAAGAACTTTGCACTTGTCACTTTCAATTTTCACTTTGTATGTTTGATTTGAATTCCATTTCTGTCTTCTGGTATATTAGCTATCACATCCAATTTTCTATCATCTGCAAACTGATAAGCATTCTTCCACCACTGCACCCAAATCATTAATTAAAAACACTGAAAAATAGAAGACTGAACCAAACAGCATTCGGTCTCCAATTTGATGAGAAACCACTGACAAGAACCTGATGAGTTATGATTTTCAAGCCAATTATAAATCCACTTAATGATCATGCATCCAGCCCATACCTAATAGCTTTATAATCAATATGTTATGGAGTCCTTTGTCAAATGCTTTCCTACAGTTAAGGTATAGTTTTTCTACAGTAATCCCATAATCTATGAAGGAAGTTACTGCAGCAGAACTATTTTTATGACATAATGACATAAAATTAGTCTGGCCAAATTAGTTCCTGCCAAATGTGTGCTGATATCCAGCAATTGTAAATTGTTTTCAAGATATTTACAGATCAATCTTTTTAAAGCCGCTACAGAATTTCCACAGGTATTGCTATGATGTTAATTGCTAGTTTCTTGAATTTGCCCCCAATTTTTGAAGATAGGAATATTTGCCCTCCTTCATTCATGAGGCACTTCAGATTTCCAGAGTGCCTCAAAATCTAATACACAAGATTTTATCAAGACTATTAGCATAATTCCTTCAATACTCTTAAAATGCAATTAATCTGGTCCTAGATACTGAAATAGTTTTTCCTTAATATGGTTCTTTCAGTTCATTCATCCTATCCTTCACATTTTGCTGTGGAACACATTGTTGAAAAAAACTAGACCAAAATAGGAGCTAAGTAACTGCATTTTTTTTAACCTTCTTCACTGAGCAGCTGGTATACAAGTTTTTAATTCTTCTTTGTAATATAAGATAGTCATAGATCAGAAAACTGTTCTCTTTGAATTTTTAAAACAGGCCACAGTTATCTGATCAAAGGTTTATATTAAACTTTAAATGTTAATGTCAATAGTTTATTGGAAATTTTCAGTATCTCCTTCTGACATTCATTTCCCATTTTAATTTCCTTTGCTTTATTTTCATGCAAAGATATTCACATTTGTTAACACGGCTAGATTCAGATTTCATGCCTCAGTAACCTTTCAGACATGTCCTCCGATTTTCCCTTTGAACTAGAAAGTTCAGTAGGCCTGTTCAGAGATTCTACGTAAGTTGGGAATGCCCAGAACTGAGTTCTATCTATTCTATCTCTGTCTTCATGAGCCCATTTCTTCATTCAGCTAAATATTTACTTATAGGCCTATTTAACATCAATAGTAATAGCACATAGCTCTTCATAGCCCTCTCTAAGTGGTTTACAGAATCAGCATATTGCCCCCAACAATTTGGTCCTCATTTTACCGATCTTGGAAGGATGAATGGCTGAGTTGACTTTGAGCTGGTGAGGATGAAACTGCTTGCAGTTGGCAGAATTAGCTTGCAATAACGACTGAGCCACCACAGATAAGAGGGAAAACTATTTTTGTCCCTGTTGTTAATTTTTAAACATTTCTAGAATCAGAAATGTAAACCTGCAACAGACCATCAGTCCGGTTTAGTTCATCGGTCTAGTCCTGTTTTAGTTCCACAACTGAGACCAGCAACCTGGTCCTTAAGGAAATGATCTCTGGGTGAACCGCAATTCTATTTATAATCTTACTTTGGTTTTCCTTTGCTTTACAGACCTGTGAAGGTTGTAAATGTGACCATTAGTTGCAAAGTTACATTTTCATCTTTGTTGTAACTGCAAACAGTTGTTAGATGAGGCGGTTGCTAAATGAAGAATAGTAGAATAGAATGGAAGGGACCTTGGAGGTCTTCTAATCCAGCTCCCTGCTCAAGCAGGAGAACCTGTATCTCAGACAAGTGAGTGAAAAAACCTCCAGTGATGGACCGCCCACGATTTCTGGAGGCAAGCTGTTCCACTGGTTCACTGTTCTTGCTGTTAGGAAGTTTCTCCTTAATTCCAGGTTGCTTCTCTTTGATTAGTTTCTAACCATTATTTCTTGTCCTGCCTCTGGTATTTTGGTGAATAATCTGACCCCTTCTTCTTTGTGGCAGCCCCTCAAATACTGGAATAGTGCTATCATGTCACCCCAATTCTTCTTTTCTTCATACTAGCCAGACCCAAAACCTGCAACCATTCTTCGAATAGTTTAGTCTCCAGGCCTTTGATCATCTTAGTTACCCTTCTCTGATCTTTTTCCAAAGCCTCAACATCTTTTTTTTTATTGTGGTGACAAAAATTGGCTGCAGTATTCCATGTGTGGTCTTACTAGGGTTTTGTAAAGCATGTAATCTTCATGTAATCTGATTCTATGCTTCTGTTTATACAACCCAGGATTGTATTAGCTTTTTTGGATGCTGTTGCACATTGTTGGCTCATATTCAAATGATCATCTACTAAGACTCCAAGGTCCCTCTTACAGTTACTGTTTTTGAGACAGGTCTCACTTAACCTGTACTTAGACATTTTATTTTTCCTGCCTAAATGTAAAGCTTTGCTTTACTCCAGATTAACACTCATTTTGTTGGATAGGGCCCATTGTTCAAGTTTGTCAAGAACTTTTGGGAACTTGAACTAACTGTATTTGTCAAAAAACTTAAGATTTATGTTGAAAGGCAAAATGACACCAGAACTATAATTACTGATTATAGTCCCACAAATATGGCAGAAACGAAGTTTTAGCACTAAACAAAATTTGCTCAAGATTGAAAAAGGAAAATTGCTTACCCAATGAACTTGAAATACTTTACGGTGGAAATTATGTTTAAAATGTTAATAAAACTAGAAAGGGTACAGAAATGACCAGTAAAATAACTGCCTAGAAGTGACAGTGCAGTAATAAAAGATTCTTCTGCAATCAGTACCATCAAAGCATATCCATGTTGAAAAAGGAATTGCTCATTTTTGGTTTTCACACGTCAAACAACCTATATGAAATCAGTACTTTTCAAATGATATTTTAACTGCTTGTTTACTAAAGTAGAAAGCTCATCTAAAACAACTTGTTCAATGCTGATTTCAGTCTTCTGCAAGGATACTTTTGAGTTCATTCAGATCCAACAGATTTGAGTTGTACCTTGTGTAAAAATGCATTGATAATGAAACTGATAGATGGCCGTGAAGTTTTATGCAACATTTTCAAACAAGGAAGCAATGAAACAGGAAAAATAAAATATTGCAGAGAGAAAGAAAGATCGCTTGCGCCCAATTCTACTTCTAGCTCTACCTCTTGCCTGTTTCAATATTACTCATTCTAGGAAAATGTTGCTGTTGGAAGAAAGAAGGATTTCTTACCCACTTAATATAATGATTGATTTGTTTGACTTCTCTGGAAATCTGACAAATTCTACAATGATTATCTCAAGTTAGAAACTTGGCAAAATTTGGGATTTAATTTGGGATTCAAGAGAACTTGGACTACTGAATTTATTCTGACATTGCTATTAACCACATCTACTAACCAAATGGAACATTTTTACTACTTGAATTTTGAACGGCACAAATATTTTGAAATGACATGCATTGTGTCTAATAGTTATATTCAAATAAAGACTTATTGTGTTCCCTAATGCATTCCCCTCCTCCTTTCCTGATTGCTGGGTAATGCTTGTAGTAAATGTAGGCTTTTATGAAAGAGCCAGAGTAAGTGCTGCTAACATTGTCAATAAAGACCCACACAGTTTCAAGACATAAGCTTTTCAATTGTTAGTTTGTGTACCATCAGCACAAAATAGGTAAGGAAAAAAAAGTCATTGTTTATGGTAAATGCTTTCTCACAGCCTAACAGTATGAGAATGTATT